TGTGTGTGTGTTGTGTGTGTGTGTGTGTTGTGTGTGTGTGTGTGGTGTGTGTGTGTGTGTTGTGTGTGTGTGTGTGTTGTGTGTGTGTGTGTGTTGTGTGTGTGTGTGTGTTGTGTGTGTGTGTGTTGTGTGTGTGTGTGTTGTGTGTGTGTGTGTGTTGTGTGTGTGTGTGTGTGTGTGTTGTGTGTGTGTGTGTTGTGTGTGTGTGTGTGTTGTGTGTGTGTGTGTGTTGTGTGTGTGTGTGTTGTGTGTGTGTGTGTTGTGTGTGTGTGTGTTGTGTGTGTGTGTGTTGTGTGTGTGTGTGTTGTGTGTGTGTGTGTGTGTGTGTTGTGTGTGTGTGTGTTGTGTGTGTGTGTGTGTGTTGTGTGTGTGTGTGTGGTGTGTGTGTGTGTGGTGTGTGTGTGTGTGTGTGTGGTGTGTGTGTGTGTGTGTTGTGTGTGTGTGTGTGGTGTGTGTGTGTGTGTTGTGTGTGTGTGTGTGTGTGTGTGTTGTGTGTGTGTGTGTTGTGTGTGTGTGTGTTGTGTGTGTGTGTGTGTGTTGTGTGTGTGTGTGTTGTGTGTGTGTGTGTGTGGTGTGTGTGTGTGTGGTGTGTGTGTGTGTGTGGTGTGTGTGTGTGTGGTGTGTGTGTGTGTGGTGTGTGTGTGTGTGTTGTGTGTGTGTGTGTGTGGTGTGTGTGTGTGTGTTGTGTGTGTGTGTGTTGTGTGTGTGTGTGTGTTGTGTGTGTGTGTGTTGTGTGTGTGTGTGTATACTCATTTTCTTTTGATTTTCTCTCTATTCCTACCTCCTTCTTTGTTATTTTTCTTCGCATTCACCTTTTTCTTTTTTTTTTTTTTTTTTTTTTTTTTTTTTTTTTTTTTTTTTTTTTTTTCATATTTCTCCTGCTGAAATAAGATCTATATGGCTTACCCATTCAGTATGCCGTAATACACTTTCAATTTATCAAAAGACCAGTTCTGAGACCCAAAACCGAGTTTGACGTTTATTTTTTTAAAAATCACAAGACATTCATAGTGAAAACATTTTTCGTGGCTTTTTGTGAAAATCTGCCTCAGCTGTTGGAGTTGAAGTAATTACTAATATAACATTAATTATCATAATCTATATGGCAACATCGAGAAAACGCTGACAAGGTAGTTTAAAAATAACATTGCATAGTAATGACAAATCATTAATGAAGTATTCAATCATTTTACATCTGAGTGAAATAAACTTTTCAAATATTTAGTATCTGTATTTCGATCGGTAGTGAAAGTCACTTGAAAAAATAGCAATTATTAGAAAATATATATATATATATATATATATATATATATATATATATATATATATATATATATATATATATATATATATATATATATATATATATATATATATATATATATATATATATATATATATATATATATATATATATATATATATATATATATATATATATATATATATATATATATATATATATATATATATATATATATATATATATATATATATATATATATATATATATATATATATATATATATATATATATATATATATATATATATATATATATATATATATATATATATATATATATATATATATATATATATATATATATATATATATATATATATATATATATATATATATATATATATATATATATATATATATAGTCATCCATGCATAATTCTAAGATTTGCATGGCTTTGGTAGATCAGGACACTTAACCTCTTCCTGCAATAGTAAAGATCACTTGAATGAAAAAGGGCTAAATGGAAGCTTAAAGGAAAAAAATAATAAGAAAAAGTAAAAAAGAAAAAGAAAAATAAGAAAAAGAAATAGAAAAAAAAGAAAAAAAAAGGAAAAAAAGAAAAAGAAAAAAAATATATATATAGTCATCCATGCATAATTCTAAGATTTGCATGGCTTTGGTAGATCAGGGCACTTAACCCCTTCCTGCAATAGTAAAGATCACTTGAATGAAAAAGGGCTAAATGGAAGCTTAAAGGACAAAAAAAAAAAAAAACTAAACGTGTTTTAACGCCCTTCCCCTACTGAATACACAAATAGATAAATAAATAAAAACAGAAAACTATACGTGTTCTACCGCCCCCCCCCCCCCCCGAATAAAGTAATAATAATACATAAATAAAATAAAATAAAAAACATGGAGAAAAGACATACGCAGATGATAAGATGAATCCGCACATGAGCTCAGCGGAAATGGCATAAAATAGCAGATAACCCCAAGCCGGCTGCCTGTCACGTGCTGGCATTTTTTCAAGATAAGCTTTTAATCTTCACTTCCGGTCTTTATCGATACTCGCTCTCCCAACGCGTTATCTACGGCTTGGGTCGGAGAGATTATCCCTCTGAATATCACCAAAAGCATGTAAAAATAAACTAATCTTCGTATCGTAGGAGAATATAAGTAGTGAGAATATCATAAGAGGAGAAATAGATTTAAAAGAACGAAGATAGGGGGAAAAAAGACCGGGCAGATCGTCCCGCTCAAGCCGAAGCCAAAGCGGGGGATTCGGACAGTCCCATTTTGTAAACATTAACAGCTGTTTCGTCTTCCTTCTGCTTCGGCCACGTCTGGTTCTTATCCGGAAATACACCGCCTTATCCGGACTATGACTGCATGTAAGACCGTGTGATTCTCGTTACAGATTTAGGGACTTACATAGAGAAAAAAAGGAACGTGAATATATAGGGGGCGTGAATATATATTAATTCTGTGACGTGTTCTGCTTTAGTGACGTGACGTGAAGGAAGGAAGGGGTTTAAATGCCTCTTCGTCTCATAGTTATTCTTTTTTCTCTTTTTCTCTTTTAATTCGGACTTATATGGAGGGAAAAAAAGGGGGAACGTGAATATATATTAATTCTGTGACGTGTTCTGCTTTACTGACGTGACGTGAAGGAAGGAAGGGGTTTAAATGCCTCTTCGTCTCATAGTTATTCTTTTTTCTCTCTTTTTTTTCGATTGTCCAGGAGTGATTGCTTGCGTGTCAGGTCGTGGTTGTCGCCGGAAATAAGCCGGAAATAAGTCCTTGCAAGATGCAGGTCAAGGAGAAGGAGAGAGGTAAGTAGGCCTATGTGCAGACGCCTTTTTTTTTATTATTATTATTACGTATGTCTCTGTCAATATTTACTTTGATAAAAAAGGGAAGGAAAAATATGATGTCATTGTCTTAAAATGGTTTTGAGTTGGTGATTTATTTGTATTTTGGGGGAATTGATGTAAAATTGATGTTGATTGTCAGTGATAAGAAAATATGGGTTAAGAAATGACAAGATTGATAAAGATTAAGTTGATAAAGATTAAACTGACTTTAATTAATGCTTATTAGATATCTATTTATTTTCAGTTCATAGTAAGAAGGCATTACTATTTTCTAAACCTATTTTACAAATGCAAAATATGTTTACTTATTTTATCCATCTATCTGCATAAGTAACAATTATGTATATCTCTGTGTCTCTAAATACTATGCATTTTGGTAGATATAATGATTATTGAATAGAATAAACAATAATTTTTCCGAGAAAGTTTTAGAAACTCCAACACAGAGAAAAGGGGTGTGGTCTGTCAAAGATATTTTATTTATAATTCTTTATTTATTTTCATTTTGAGTATAATGAATTGGAGGAAACAAATCATTACTCATCACTAAGTAGCTCTGAGGTCATTGTTTTGGTAGATTCCAGAGAGATAAAGTAATAGATGACATTTTGAAAGAATATGACGGAGAATTTTTTTTCTGCAAAGGATGTGCAGTTTTCTGGCTCACTTCCTAATTGACACTTTTGTCATTATGATTACAGTTTTGGATCTTAATGTAGTACAAGATAAAACTATCTTTATATTGGTGAATTCCAGAACATTTCACTTATTCATCATAGTTGTCAAAATTATATAAAAAAGATGAATGAAGATAATGAAAAAAAGGATTTACCTGTATGTATGATTTTTGTATCTTAAACTCACTGGTAATTTATTGTCAGTTAAGAAACCAATTAAGAAACATACCTTTATGTGGTGAAGGTTTATTAGCCTTTGCCAAAGCACCAGAAACTCACAGGCAATCTGGATTTTTAAACTACATAAACTATGTCACTTGCCTTGTTCCTCTATTTTTTTTTCTTTCTGTTTTTTATAAAAATGTCTCAGAATTCTTTGACATCTTAAATCATCCTTGTACTCTTTGCTTTATATTCTTTATATGGATGAAAAAGTGATATTATGATTCTGTTTGTATACATATATATATGTTTTTATTTTTACATAAATTTTCTCAATTTTATTATATTGCTAAATTCTTTGCTTTTGTTCCTATTCTTAAGTATTTTCTAAAAGTGATTAAAGTATTAGTTTTGAAAATGCAATTTTATAATATCTGGACAAAGATTGTGTACATATAGAAAGTATTTTATCTTTAGCTACACATTCAGTTGCAGTCCTCGGGTATCTGGAGATATTTCAGTCAAAGATAGCAGAGGAATGGTTAAAGTTAACTACTTTTAGAGTACCTAATAAATTGATAAAACAAATATATGTATATATGCCAAAGGGGGGGAGAGTCATAAAAAGAATCAAAAAGAATATTAGAATAAAGGAGACAATGAGAAAGACAGAAATATAAATAACAAAAGTGGAAACTGTTAGAATGCAGAAAAGTAACAGACTTTTCCCATGTGTGAATGGCCTGTTCATTATAGATCAGTAAACTGGCATCTGTCATTTGACAGGTATGGATCTTAGACCTGCAGCTGAATAAATTTCAGTTTTCAGCTGTAATATATAATGATTCTGTTAGTGTCATGCTTGTCATGAAACCTACAATATATTGACACCAGTAGTGGTTGCAAGTGCCCCATTTTTCAATGTTTTCTTCCCTCAGGATTGGTCTGGGGTCTCCTCGAGTCAGCAGGGGACACTAATGAGGGTGTACGGCAGACAGTTGCTGGATCCCTCATAACGCTGGGCCACAAGCATCCTGGCTTTGTTTTGTCGTCAATTCATAAGTTTATTTCAAGTCCACAGACGGCACCAAAGGTATGTTCTTCAATGGGTTTTCTTTTTTCTGCCAAGTACGAGTGATCATGATTATATGATTATATGATCTTTAATTTATTTTGAGGATTGATTACATTACATATTAAAGGAAGCATTTTAGACATGAAGATGATTTAAAAAGACATGTGCTTTGGTACCTTTTCCTTTCTAAATTTTTCTTGCTCTTTTACAGGTGCAGGTACAATCCATATTATACAATACAGCAGAGAACATAGTGCGTGAATGTGGTGAAAAGATTGACGACAAGGAGTTGATAGACACATGGACAGATGCAGCAGTTAAACTTTTAACATTGCCTTCTGTGGCACCAGATCTGCAAGAAGCTGCGTCAGGCTTGATGGTTGCTTTGGGCAGTAATCCCAAGCATTGTTCAGCTGTAAGTTCTTGTTTTACTTAATTCATGAAAAGATTTTTAGTTCAGTTGTGAGTTATTGTTATTTTATTCATGAACAGATTTTTAAGATATCAAAAATATTTGATGATTTACAGTATTCTAACTTGGCTCATTTAATGTAAAAGTACTTATTTTCTTGTCTTAAATTTAAAGATAAACACTAATAATATATTTTGATAAAACAAATTAGTAGTATCTGTATTTTTATATGGAATGTTTATATGTCCTTGGTACTATTCACACATTACCAGTATTTCTTTTTCTTTTTATCATCCCAGGTGATGGAGACTTTAGTTGGTCAAATTCAGGCTGGCACCCTCCCTTCACAAAGCATTGCAGAGACTCTAGGTGCACTGGCTGTTGTTAATGTCACAGGAACTGTCCCTTTCATTAAAGTCTTGTTGGGTTTAATTGTGCAGTGTCTTCCATCAGTAAAGCAGGACAACTTGAAAGTGGCTTTAGCAATGATGCTGAGCAAGTTCTGTGAGACAATTCAGGAGGCAATAGCAAACAAGGAACCTGATCCTGACATCAGTGTGGAAGCTTACATGACAGAGAGTGCTGCAATATTTGAAGCCTTAGTTAGCCTTTGGTTAAAGAGCTCCAATTCTCTAGTTCGCCAAGAGACGATTGTTTGCTTGGGGCACATGAGCCATCTCCTCCCTAAGGAGAAACTAGAGGAACTTGCAGGGTTAGTGGTAACGACCATTCTCTCTCTGTATCGGAAGGCTTCATCCCCGTACAGTCTTACCTTCTCCCTGGCTCTAATCACTGATGCAATGCTAAAGAATAACCTCACCGAAGGCATGAAGTTCCATGTTGACCATTTACTAGGTTGTGTGTTCAACCAGGTGTGTGTTATTCCTAATTATTCAGAGCCATTCACTGTAAAGAACCATTATGAAGTTCTAAGATGTTATGAACTTCTGGCAAAACATTTTCCAGAAAATGTCATGACACACTTGCTGCAGAGGTTAGAGAATGCAAGTCACATGCAGAGGGTAGGTGCCTTGATAGTATCAAAGCACCTTGTAAATAGCAAGACCCTGACTGACGCTAATATATCTAACTTGATATCAGCATTGAATCCTCTCCTAAGTGATCCCAACAGTAAAGTGGTAAAGAGTTTTACACAGGTTATTGTTGCTCTCTGCCATAATTGCCATTTGGATGCACAGAGTGGCGCTCCCTTCATTACATACCTAGTGAAACACTCGGCTGGGGTATCAACACCTCAGACACGAAGACCTTCTCTTGCTGAGCCAGATGGAGAATCGGTGTCTGAGGTAAGTCGTAGGGTGCTCCATCTTTTGGCTACGACTGTGGATGGGGCCAGGCCATTATTGTGGCCTCATTTGTTGAACTTTGTATGTACTCCTGAGTATGAGACAAGTTTAGCAACTACTCTAGGTTGTCTGGCTCATCTTGCCAACAACAGTAAACCAGAAGAAGAGAAAGGGCCACTGTTAACAGGCCCACCAGGTCCTCCAACGGCCCATGTCTTGCTGGCACGTCTTTTAGTGCTGAGCTGCATTCCTGGAGATGGAACCATAGGCACTGCAGCTCTCACACTTCTTCAAGGTTTAGCACCACATGTCAACCCTCAAGTGGTGGAACCCTGGAGCCAGCACCTCCCACAGCTGCTGGCAACATTGCATGATTTTACAGCGAAAGGGGATGCTGAACCATCAGCAATTCAGGTGAATAATGTCAAGACTGTTAGATCACTAACCTTAAGATATTGTAAGAGCAACATTTCTGTATTCTTTTTCTATGCTGGCGTATGACTGATTTTTATCTGTATTTCCAGAAAATAATAATAAATTGTTCTAATCTCTTTCAGATGTGGCACGATTCTCTCAGGGATTTCCTTGCATCCACAATCATGAACATCAACAGTGAAGAATTTACTATTAGTGTTGGAGTGGCTCAGGTGTTTATTTTGCGTCTTTTTATATTTTAAGAGATGATTTTATTCAGCTACAATATAGTAGGTTTAGTTTATAAAGTTTGTGTGTATGGCGTCTGTTTTTAGCCAAAGACAGTATATGAGTTAGAATATTGTTATATAAGTAATTCTGTTGTTCTCATATAGATTCATAGCTTAAGTTCATATACATATGAAAAGTAAGGATCACTATTTGATAATTTTGAAATATAGAGCAACTTTTCTTAAATGTTTTCATTGAGGATAAGTCCCCCTTTTAAAGTAAATTTTCTGAGCTGGACATTTTAAATCATTTATATAGGAAGCCTGTTTTGGCAAATATTATTAAATTTTAACCACTGGTGATATACAGTTAAACACTGACTGTCTTTGTAAGCAATTCAGTATTTTAGTTTACATTTCATGCTATATATCTCCCTGACCTCTGCTTTAGTTAAGGTTTTCCATTTACAGAAAATGATATTATTCTTTTTCACACTGAAATGCTACTGAACATGTTGATAAGTCATTATTTTCTTTCCTTTCAGATGGACCAACTTCACCTATATGATAAACAGCAGGCACAGCTCTGTTTCTTGATGTCGCTGATTGGAGTCACGTTAAAGCACATGTCCAATAAAACCTTTGTGGCCACAACCCTCGACTCTTTGTTCAATGCTACTAGTCATAAATCAGCGGTTGGTCAGTATCTGTGGTAAATTGATTCTTTATTATATTGGCATTTTAACTTCAGTTTTACAAGAGAAAATTGATTCTACAAAGATGTTCGTAAAGTTACAGTAATTGCATTTACAGTAATTACAATTATGAAGGCATAAAATAGATTACTTATCTAAACTTAGGAATCAATGAAGGTATCCATCTATGCATTTAACCTGTCATGCTAGCTTCTTTAAGTGCAGGCCTATTTAAGTTTACTTTTTAACAAAGAATAGATATGATCTTGAATGACAAGATACTATACCATGTTAATAGAATGAAAAAAAAAAAACACTGCTTGGCATCATTGTGTCACCGGCCATTCCTTGCACACGGGATAACTTAGAAGCAAATAAAACAGACACTATGTAACAAATGGAATCAAATTAAACCTTTAACCTTTAAATCTTCTATAAACCTTTTTTGTGTATTGAAGATTCATCTGACAAACATGAGAATTTAATAGTGAAGAATTACTAACAAAATAAAGACTAGTCACCGCTAGAAAGGAAAATATTTTTGGAATCTTCTCATTAAACAGCGGATCTCTTATAGCTCAGAGATAACTTAAATCAGCAGTTATGATTTCATTTCATAAAGGAGTCAGATAATAATTTGTACAGAAGTTTCAACAATATACTTTTAAAATTATAATAGATTACCATAACTGCTATTTATTTATCCATTTATTTATTTTATTTATCTTTTTTTTTTTAACTCCTTATACTAACCTTGCAGAGCGAGAGAGCCTGGCCTTGTCTGTAGGTACCGCAGCTGCTACTCATACAGACCTTGTTCTAACTCACATAGACATGTGGCTCAAGACAGCAGATCCTGCCAAAAAATCCCTGTCATTCTTCAATTTGATCAAGGTAATATTTTTACATGCTACAGTACACCTTTGTTCTCTAGTATACGGAGCATAGTATGATGTGATATCAGTTACAGGTGTGTTAATGCTTGTGCTGTAATTTTTTTTCTGTTTTGATGAATGAGATGAAAATGGAGAATGACAAGAAGATATTCTCAAGCTTCTGTTTATCAGGCTTGAAATTAGTATTATGGTTAAGGTGTTATCTACCTCTCTAACAAGTGTATATTCGACTATGTATAGTTGTCTTGGCTTTTTTTTTCTAATCTTCTTTGTTTGTTTATTAATTTCTTCTTGGTATTTGAGGTTCCTGGAGTACATATTGCTATAGTAAATTGCATTCCTGTTATGCTACATATATATATATATATATGCATGCGATCTAAAAATATTGCATAGTTTCTGTTTGCGGTAGTTATATTTTGCAAAAGCCATTTAATTATATGATCTGATATTTATGCTTTTCAAATTCGCAGCAAGATACACGAGTGGAAGAATCGTCCTGGATGCGAGCCAGTATAGTGTTATGCCTCGGACAGATTTCCACTTTGGCTCCAGCAAGTGTAATTGGAAGCCGTGTCGATGGCCCCATCATGCTTCATCTTCTTAATATCATTAATAGTAACAAGGTAAGAAAGCTGCATGAGGTATTAGATCATTATGTTTATGGATTATAAAACGACTGATTTTCAGGCTGATATGCTGATAGAAATGAGTCATTTATTACTGTGAAATTGTATTAGATTTGTGTAAACATGTGAAGTACTACAGTATTATTGTGATATATATGTATTTATACACACAAAAAGAAGAAAAAAATGTGTATTAAAATCATATGTCTGATGATCTAGATAATTTTTCTTAATTACAGAGTGAAATGGTGAATGAAGCAGTTCTGCACGCTATTAGCAATATTGCCCGGGCCCTTACTCGCCTCCCAGACTTCAAGCTTCGTCAACGGCCTTTGCTTATTACACATCTAGTCAACACATCCAGGAGCGAAGGCCTTCCACATCCTGTGCTTGCTAGCGTCCTGCAGGCCCTGAGAGATCTTGCGTATCCTTCTGTGCTTAAAACATTGACTCATTTTGTTTTTATTTCTATAGGGTTCCAACACTAAATGAGATGTTAGATTATGGTATGAGTTAGCTACAGATTTTAGATTATAGCAGGCGAGATAAACAAGCATAGAATTTGTATAATAGAATATGGAGATTTTACATAACGTAAGTATCAGAGTTAAAATGCAGGAGATAATTTTGTTTTGTTTTTCTGTATAATTGAAATAATTGAGCAAAATGGAGGATGGGGTCCCATACAAAAAGAAAAAGTTTAAGAACATATACATGCAGGGATCACACAACTTGCAATGACTGGATATTTAACTGAGGTAGTAAATAAGTTACAGTTTGCTATATAAAGATTCAAAGATTTATACTTTGAGAGATGCATTATTATATAAGTGCTTGTAATGCATCAGAGGATAATATGTCAAGAGGGTGAACTATAAACATTGCAGTGGAACATGATAGTATAGTATTCTAACAACTAAAGAAGCTTTGTTAGATATGAAAGTGACACTGTATACTGTTGATGATATTGGGTTGATGGTAATCTTTGACTGTATGTTTTTTCTTGCAAATAATTAGAAAGTTAAACACCTTAACTAAATCCAGTGCTCTTGAGCCACAGCTGAATGTAGAAGAGAGAACAATCATTCTGCAAGCAGGACTGAATGCTACATTGCCACGTTTCTCTCAAGCGGAGAATGTTGACCCATACCTTACGAAATGCAATGCCCAACTAAGTGTTCTCATCAGGTATGTTTGTGCTGCTGTTTTTGTAAAATGTACCAGACCCTTTGGCTGAAGAAATACTTTTTTTCTGTTATAACTTGTATTAGTGAAAGTTAACCTAGAGACAGAATCGAGTAGCATTTTATATATGCTTGTTCAATTTTTATATATCTAGACCATATATTTGATATTTGCTTATCTTACTTAGTAATATAAAAAGTTTTTTTTTTTTTTTAAGATATTCAATTTGTTCATATCTACCTACCTTTAGTATTATTGATTCCAAAGATTTTTTTTTTTTCTAATATACCATTTAATTGTTTCCAGAACTATCATTCAGAAGGACACAAATCCAGCCACCTTAGATGATGTGACAACACTTCTGCAGTCATGGACAGTTGCACCTGCTGAGCTAATAAGGATTAAATCTGTTGAACTCCTTCACACAGCACTTCGTACTTATTATGACCATTTAACCTTTACAATTGAGGTTTGTATGTGTTAGTCTTAATTACTTACGTTTTTCTTTCTTTCTTTCTTTCTTCACTAAGAGCTGCTCATTTATGTACAGAGTGAGAGCTGTTCATTTGTGGGTATATTTGTATGGTTTTGGACATGAAAATATATTAGTATATATCTTTGGTTGTTTAGATTATTTGACATTACCATAAGAATTTCAACCATTGCTACAGGGACCAACAAACTTCAACCAGACCTGTCAACTTCTGGCCTTCCTTACACCTCGCCTGAGTGACCCAAGCTCCCAAGTGCGAACACAAGCAGTGGGCAGTGTCTACATGGTGTTACGCATAGCAGGACGTTACAATGGCCAGACTCCTGATCACGCTGATGATGACCTCGAACTGCTGAAGGTTTGGCTACACTTTCTTCTTCTTCTTCTTCTTCTTCTTTTTTCCTGTGTATAAAAGAAGTGTTGCGTGTGTTTATTGTTTTTCTGTTCTTTTGCCTTTAGTGGATGTACATCTTTTCTTTTCTGATGGAGAAGGTGCAACATTTGATAGAAATAGCAGGTTAAAGCACAAGTAACTCAGTTTGTACCATTTTACAGAATTTGACAGTTGTAAGGTAGAAATAGGAATTGATATTTCTTTAATAATTTTTCAGCCAAGATTATTTGTCCCAAATTGAATTATCTCCTAGCATACCTATTATAGTTGAATATTATTAAGAAACTTAGGATAAATAAAGCCATGTATCTGGTTTTAGCAAATATTAGACATGAAGGAATTGGGATGCATTTTATTTTTTAACTTTGTTAATGAAGTGACATTTCATTGTTTACCATTGGCAGATAATTTTGCCAAAGCTATATATCTTTGGCATTCTGTTACCAATGGCCTTCACCCTTAGGGAAAAGTGTCACTTCTTTAAATTGAAGTAAAGCTGAAATGAAACCAGTACTGAATGTGTACTATTACTACACATTAGACCTACAGCATACTTAAGAAACGGAAAAGAAATGGAGGAAAAAGAAGAAAGTGTCAGAGGAGTCTCTTTCATCCCATTTACAATATTTCACTCAGAAGTATGTATGCAGTAGTGTAATAATCAAGGGTATAAGGTTTAAGAAACTAGTTGCTAAGTGAGATATTGATTAGGATTTCTTTATTTCTTGTTCTCATGTGTTACAGACTGCTGAAGAACAGATATCAGTTGATGACCCACAGAGGATAGACAACCTTGTCAAGGATGTTGGCACGGTAAATTGCACTGAATGTTGCAAAATGAAATAGGAATATCACATGAAGTTTATTTGTCAGACCTTAAACGTTGATGATATTTGAGAAGAGGCCAACATAATATGAAAATATGTTCATTACCTATTCCCCTTTGTCCCACTTTTTCAGGTCATTAGCAACAAGTTAACATTTGTGCAGCTGAGGTCGTTCTTATCATGTGTAGTCGTGGGTCTGCAGGACAGATTAGGAGAGTCCTCATCGGGAGTTGCACTTGTAATTACCACTATATTTACTCTCCGTGGACATCAGCTTCACCAGCACATAAAGGAGATCCTAGGCAAGTTTCTGCTAAAGCTTGATTTTGTATCATTAATGTGTTTTGTTATTTTTTACAAGAATGATTATGTAGAATGATATATATAGACTATTAAATTCATTGATAAGCATGTTTCTCTCTTCATAGATTCAATATACACTCGCCTTGAGAAGGTTAGTCACAAGGAGACTCGGAAGAGATCCGTGGAAGCACTGACTCAACTGTCTGCTCACAACCTGAATCTAGTCTTGGATACCATGCTCAATTATCCTCTTCCATATGAAAGGTAGATAATTATTTCTATTTTTCTTTCTATTTTCAGCATCATTCTTCCGTACCCTTTCTTCTCAGTGATCTGGACGTTATCTTATCTATGCAAAATCAATGAAAATTGAATGTTTAGCTGTAATATATAATACACATATAATCTGTACATATGAATCTATTTGTAAATAACAAAAATATATTTACAAGCACTAGTTTCACCAGTAGTTTTATGTATCTCCACTACAGCTTTCTAATCTTTCTAATTAATAGCTAACTGATTTTAATAACACTAGATTTTGTCCATTATTAGCTTACTGATGAACTTGCAGTGCTATTGTTTTTATTTTTTTATGTATTTATTTTTTTTTTATCAGTTATGGTGCAAAATGCTGTAATATAACATGTAGAAAGTTGTGGCTTAACCTATAGTTAAGTCATTTTCTCTATATCATAGTTTTCTCTCGACAGTGGCGTGTCAGGTACATGGCGTAATTTAGGTCACGATCCAAAGCTTTGCGAGTCGGCTTTAGAGCATCTGAAGCAGATTATGGAACGCACCCAGCTGTTCACTGAGCAGCCTACAGCTTCCGATTCTACTGTCAGGATCGCTACTCTTCCCCCTCTCTCAGTAAGGATGATAGGAAAGCTTCAGAACTTTCAGAACCAGTGTCATTTAGATTATAGACAGTTGTTTCATAGAATTGAAAAAAAAAAATTGTCTATGCAAGAAAGAGGTATATTAGTTTTAGATAGGTTTTCAATCAAGAAATCATTGCAAGGCAGGTGATATTACTACTTTTATCACTGAACTTTGTAGCTTATTAAAAGCAAGGTTTTGTTAATTAGCCACAAGAAATGAAGTTACCTTGCTTCGGCTAACCACAAATACAGAATTTTAAGAGAATTTAAGACAGGATTTAAGAAAGGTTCGCTCCTTGGCCACGAAAATTAGAGCAGCTATCGAGTGCAATGCTCACTGTGTAGATACTGATGGAGGGTGACCATATATGCAGTATTCTAAAATATCCTACTTGTTAACTTCTTATATTACTGAAAAGCAGTGTCACTGATAGACTTTCACTATGGTGACAGTAGTTAATTCTTAAATTCATAACATTGCTATTATTGTCTCTCTTCAGAAAGTTAAATGCATTCACATTAATTAAAAATACTTGTTTTTTATTCTTGTTATATGTAAAGATGTAAAGATATATATTTATATGTATGTGTGCATGTGTGTGTGTGTGTGTGTGTGTGTGTGTGTGTGTGTGTGTGTGTGTGGTGTGTGTGTGTGTGTGGTGTGTGTGTGTGTGTGGTGTGTGTGTGTGTGGTGTGTGTGTGTGTGTGTGTGTGGTGTGTGTGTGTGTGTGTGTGTGTGTGTGGTGTGTGTGTGTGTGTGGTGTGTGTGTGTGTGGTGTGTGTGTGTGTGGTGTGTGTGTGTGTGTGTGGTGTGTGTGTGTGTGTGGTGTGTGTGTGTGTGGTGTGTGTGTGTGTGTGTGTGTGGTGTGTGTGTGTGTGTGTGGTGTGTGTGTGTGTGTGTGTGTGGTGTGTGTGTGTGTGGTGTGTGTGTGTGTGTGGTGTGTGTGTGTGTGTGGTGTGTGTGTGTGTGTGGTGTGTGTGTGTGTGGTGTGTGTGTGTGTGTGTGTGTGGTGTGTGTGTGTGTGTGTGGTGTGTGTGTGTGTGTGTGGTGTGTGTGTGTGTGGTGTGTGTGTGTGTGTGGTGTGTGTGTGTGTGTGGTGTGTGTGTGTGTGTGTGTGTGTGTCTGATATTGAAAAAATAACTTTTGCTAATAATCATGGCTTCATTGTAATAATCAAAATTGTCAGTTCTTTTACATATGCTTTGTATTCAGACAGTTTTTTTTCGCTTTCATTTGTATTTGCAAATATTGTTATCATCTTCAGCTTCATCCCTTAAAAAAGAATGCATGCAA